GACGTGGGATAAGCGATATTCTAGTACCACAGTAAACAAATTGATGGGTCTTATTTTATTGTTAGCCATTATTCATAAATATAAATAGCTTTAGACTTATTCTTGAACCCATAATTGTGTTTAGACTTATAAGGTTTGTCAATAGCGACAAGGTGATACTGACTATGCATTTTTAGTGTAAGTGTTCATGCCTCTTTGTCTTAGGATGAATGACCTTCATTTCTGTCGTTTTTCTCTTGTTTTTATTTGGGATTTCTTATCTTAGATCTTATCCAATCCCCAATAATCATTATATATTTAAAATAAATAAAAATTAAAGAACATAATCTCAATATAAATTTATTCGTATATCAAAGGTGGCTGCTTCGTACGACTTATTCAAATAAAACTTATAAAAGTACAGTTTATTCCAGTAGAACTTTTATGAAAAAAAAAAAAATTTAACTGTTTCTTTGAAAAAATGTAAAAGAGCTTTGAAGTCTTTCATTACCAAAAAAAAAATACTTTAAATATACAAAAAATGATAAATCAAATTCATGAAATAGTAGGGGATATTTTTTGGGATTTCAATACTTTAAATAATATTAAAAAGAGCTTATAGGAAAAGAAAATTTAAGCTTCTCCGATAAGCTGTGTTGTTTAAAATTGTATATGCACATTTGAGATACAATTAATCAATCTAAAAAAAAAAAAAAAAAATACTTATTACTTTAAATAAACTATTTTGATTAATAGATAAGTTCCACCAAATATAATTATAATTACTCTTTAAAAAAAGTAATAATAAAGACTTAGGACGTCAAAAACTAATAATCCCACAATTCCCATAATTGAGGTTTGCTTATAATCTTGGAGTCAGGACTTGATTGTCAAAATATTTTATTCCAATTAATAAAAATAAATTACTTTTGATCCTTAAATTAAAAATGCTTGTTATTATTATTATTATTATTTTAAAGTCAATAGAAAAAAAGTTTCTCATAATATCAAAGGAAATTTATGGACCATTGTTTGAAGTTAGACCTACTTTTCGTAAAAATCTTTGATTTAAAACATACCTCGTAACCTTCTCCAAACTTTTTGAATTTACCCTCCTTTGAAGCTTTGTAGTTGGTGCCTTGGTGCAACTTCTAATTTAGAACTTATTTGTCTAATTTTCAAACTAAATTTTTTTTTTTTTTTTTAATCAGTTCAAATCTCAGGAAGTCAATAAAGTTTACCCAAAAATTAAGGGTCTCTTTAATTTATAATCTAAAAATGATTTAAAAAAATTGAAATAAGATTCAAAATTTTGGAGTTATATTTTACGATAATACTATAAGATAACAAAAAATGAATGAAAAAGTCAAACTCATTATATTTACTTTTTTATTCATTTTTTATCACATCACTTTGTATGGAAATCTTTATAAGTGTAGTATTATTCTTTTATTTAATATTTTTAATAGTTTGATATGAGATTAAAAATAAATTTTTTAAACTAAAAAATATTGTGAAAATAAATTTTAATTGTTTTCAGAAATCTATTTTTGAAATCATTTCTACTAAATACATTTTTATAAAATATTTTATCTCTTATTAAAAATAAAAAAAACATATATTTAAATTATATATCAAATAGATCCAATAAAAAAATTGTAAGTTTTATTGGTAAGTATTTGAAGATTGATCAAATGAGATAGGAAAGTATAAAAAATTGATCCACACAAGAATGGTCAACTGAGTTCAAGTCTCATCAACCTCTAATAAAAGTTGTCATTAGGACTCTTATCTTGGGAGCCAAAACACCCTAGCCATTAAAAAAAATATATATAAAAGTTGGTTTGTTTTGTTGCATAGTTTGGTAAAGAATTATTGGGGTATAAAAGAAGAGGTGGGCAATTCCTTAATGGACCTTTGTTTGCTCCCAACGATGACAACATAGAGAAAACCTTTAAATAGAAGGGTAATGACATGTTGCCACCAAAGGTTGAGCGAAATGGCAAGTTCCCACCTCTATTTTATAGAATTTCAAATTTTCACCTTTAAATTAACCTAGAATTCCAAATTTTCACCTAAATTAACCTAGAATTCCAATTTTTCACCCTTAAATTAACCGAGAATTGTTTAACGTCATGATTAAAGGGTAAAATAGTCAGTCCAAATCTCTAATCTTATTCGACCGGAATAACATCTAGGTAGGTGCGATTCTGGCACCTAGACCTCCACCCGATCCAAACTTCATCTCACCAAACCTTTGGTGTGGCTGGATTTGGTTGTGGCTTTTTTACAAACAAATGGTGGGCGCCGGTAGGTGAGTGGAAAAATGGCCGAATTCTCAACAATTTGATCTCCTAAAATTCAACAAATGAACTCCAATAAATAGCCAAACAAACTCCAAAACAAAAAGCTCATGCAAAATCACTCTCAAATAATTCCAAAAATAAAATCAAAATCACCAGCACTACTATTGCTTTTAGGCCAATCAGCCTGGTTTCGACGTCGTTGGACCCCCCCACCACCACCATCAACTACCATTTCCCCTCCACACCAAAATCCCTTTATTCCCCACCTCACTGCTCCAGCCAATCGCCGACTGTAGCTAGGTTTGTTTTCGCACGAACTCTCGCTTCTTGGCTAAGATTCCGATGGTTTTTGAAGCCAAAAACTTCACCTTCCCCCTAGCATCAGCACCACCGACATCTCCTTAACAAAACCCTCATATCAGGGGACAGTGGTTGCTCAACGATCACCGTCCGCCACCCACCCTTGATCTCATGCGACAATTGCAATTGGGAGTTGATTGAGAGATGAAGAACAACAAGAAGATGGGAGGACAATTTGGTAATAGCGTCCTCAACATTTGTGTTAGAACTTAAAATTCATTAACACGATTACTTTAAGGATGAGAATCTGAAATTTATAAAATTAGGAGTGAGAACTTGCCATTTTGCTTAACCATGGGTGGGAACAAGTCGTATACTCTAAATAAAATAGGCAACGAGTAGCCTTCCAACGCTTCACTCGTAAACTAACAAAACAACGAAACGTCAAATCTCTTTCAAACAAGTAAAAATCATTGCTCTTTTACTCATTTTTCATTAGTGATACGTCACCGTCTTGTGTTAGGTTCCATTTGCAACCACAATGATCCATTGCTTCTTTATCAAAGTAAAAAAATAACCAACTCTGTATCGATGCACAAAAATAGAACATGAATAAACCAATCATAACAACATCTAACATTAATGAGTATACCCGCAATTATGCACTCAAAACATGTTTGATAAAATGTCACAAACAATGCAAGTTGTAAAGTTTAGATGATGATTAATTAATGTGTCTGACTTGGTCAAAATGGGTCAACTGACAGATTCTTCCAAAAGCAGTCGTTCACAGCGGAAGGGAAATCGTTAATTAATGAGAAAATAGATATTAAAACTCCGGTAATTATAAAGTGGTGAGAAATTAACTGAGATATACATAAATTGGTTCGGACATTTATAGTTAAAAAAAAATATATTTAAACTTAGAAAGATTTCTTGTGTAGCTTATTTGCAGTCTCCTCTAAACTATATTAACTTATCTCTAGTGTTATAGTATATGAATAGTTAAAGTAAAGAAACGATATTTCATCCAAAAAAGAATAATGCAAAAAAGCAATCCTTTTGCAGTAAAGAAGAATTCAGCAAACAACTTTTAGTATATTACAACATAAGATGTTTAGAGAAACTAAAATTCTCAACGATTAGAGTGCAGAAGAGCATAAAGGAGTCGCAATAGCACTCCTCTATCAGACAACAGCAACATAAAGCTGCAAGACTGCAAATATAATCTATCCATTATGCCTTATTTGCAAATTAAAACAAATTATTAATTATTAATGCATACCATGTCTGCAAGAAACTCGACTCTCTTGGCGGTGGAGCTACATATTGTGGAGGTGCCATCATTGGAGGCCCATGATGATGATACTGATAATATCCACCTGCATGCATCAAATTTTATTATATACTTGGAACTACAAATACATAATTTACAGAGAAATTGTTAAGTACCATGAGGAGGATATGGGTATGCATACTTGGGTTCACTCATAGTTTAAACTCAGTTGAATTATATAGATAAAGACTGGAGAGAAAGATGAGTTTGGTAACATATTTATACTAAGTGTTTAAATTAATATTTGATAATGAGAGAAGATATATTATACGTCGTTGAATTCTGAAAAGCATGTGAATACACTTGTTTTAATACAAACTAGTTTCTACTTTCTTCTTTATATTTAAGCGGTTCTCTCTGCTCTCCGTTTCCTTTGTGTTTGTGAACCTTTCTTATATTCTATTATATTACCTTCAATCCTTGCTTAAGTTTAAGAAAATGTGTATTGTTTTTCAACTTAATATATTAATATTTTATTTACAAAAGTTGAGTTGGGCTTGGACAGACTAGGGTTACAGTGCTGTAAGGCCCTTTTAAGTGCACAATATCTTATATACAAAAGAAAAGCACTAGAGAAGTGATATTTACTGGTAAACTTACAGTAAAACACCGAAAACAATATACATTAACTCATAACGTGAAATTTGTAGACCAAACACATAAAACTTATAAAATACTTTATTATCCTCTTGATTTTAATACACCAAAATTGTTTCAGTTATTTAAGCTTACAAGTTTAGAACCTCAATGTTTTCATTTGTGAAAACCATTCTTCTCTAAAATAGTTTTTGCATAATAGAGAAAATGGTTAAATTTTGTAGAGAGTTGTAAGTATACCAATACATTTTTGTTTCATTATGTATTTTTCTTACCATCGACTATGAGGTTTTATGGATGAGACATGAGTTTTACGTGGAAGAGATTAGCAGTACTGACTTCATTAAAGTCTAATTATAAAATAAAGGGTAAAATTAATACATATCGATTTATTGGGTACAGGAAATATGTTCAATGGTTGTTTTAAAAATAAAAACTCTTCCATTTAATCTTTTGTAAGTTATAATTTTCATGTTTGTGAATATAAAAGTTTTGAAGAAGCTTGGTGCCTTATTGTACAGTACTGCAAATTTAATACATGAACTCGATAAGATAATCAATCACTCTCCTCAGAGAATTTAAAGTCTACAACATCAACATGTTAATTAAGCAACATGTTGTATATAGACATAGTAAAAGAAAAACTGCATCTGCATTTAGGCAACGAACAAGATAGAGGGATCGCAGCAGCAATCATCCAAGAGACAGCAGCAACACAAAGCTGCAAGGCTGAAACAAAATCACACACAAACAATTTAGAATTGTTGTCAATGATCATTAACCATCCCCATATTAGTTTATTGATTATTTTAATTGTATTCCATAATGCAATCTGATTATGTAAATAATTAAGAAGATCTTATAGATATATATTTTATGGAAGAATGAAGAGGAAGTTAAAACGTACAATCCGTCGACAAAACTCGGTTCTCTCTTAGGTGGTGGTGGTGGTGGAGCTGCATAATACTGTGGAGGTGCCATCACTACTTGAGGCCCTTGATAACTCCCTGCATATATCATTTCATAATTTGTAAGCATCAATAAAATTATGGGTATAATGTATGCCATAAATTCTGTTAATACCTGTGGCCGGATAGGGATAACCATACTTGGGATCATTCATCTTTGGAACAGGAACAGGATAGAATTAGTTGGTGGATATAAAAGTTGAGGTATTCTTGCATGCATTTATATATATGACAAAAAAGTGAAGAGGAGAATGGTTGAAGAAGGCAGAAGGAAACATCCATAGAGCATACTGGGAAGCTGGAGCCTCAAGTATTAATATTGCAGGTTGATTCATAATATCAAAAATTTATTCGATTCTAGTAAAGTTGTGGCAGAATTAAAGTTATTCAATTCTTTAATCAGCGGTGATATAGATTCCAACTTCCCCAGTAAAGTTAAAGCTCTGATAAGCATGATCTTTAGATAGATACTAGCTGTTTCCATCTACAGTTTTACTTTGTTCTGATAAATTAATTAGCCAATATTCCTTGCACACTTTGAAAGGCTTGTTTTTATAATGAAAGCTGGGGAATATTTTAATTTGCATTAAGCAGCTTCTTGTTTTTGTTTAGAATTCGTGCAAATTGTTCTACTGCGGCGCCCAAAGGGTCGAATTATATTTCAACGTTGAGCATGCAAAGTCAAATGAAAATTACTAATATTTTAAAACTCTCTTTATAAATTCATTCACATGCAATATTACTGTTTTCACATAATTTAAATAAAATTCGAGCCTATTCACATTATTTAAATAAACTTGTCGAGGATGTTTCCCTAACTCTGTCGATCGGGTGTCTGTCAACTATCTAAAATCTAACTTTATTATAGGTTACACTGCTTACTCGACTCAAAACCCAACATATTTCTATCTGACGTTGGGTCATAAATTCTATCTAAAATCTAAACTTTGATTATGAATCTAATTCAACTCTTCATTGATCAAGGATCCTGGCCCGATTACAAGGCGAATTATGCTCTCCTATTGTTGCAAGTAACTTTCAAATTCTGACTTGATGGCATTTTCCTTTTCTTCATGCCTAAAATAATTTGATGAACTTGACGCACTTTGCATCTATTCTTTAATTAATTCCTTTCATACTCCTTTAATTAATGTATTAATCTTTGCATATTCTTTATTACTCACCAACCATATGCAAAAAAGTATCCCTTACTTGGTCGCAATCGATTAGTAGTTCATTAATCATTCCCTAAGTATAGTTTATAGTTCAAGAATTATCTTGGATTAGGTTCATATTATCATTATCAAATCCATAACAATTTAGACTTGTATAAATTAAACTACTCGATAATATTTTTAAATAATCTACCATTGATGAATATATCAAAATATCTGTGTTTTTTATTTTGTTTATTTTTTCAATTATCTATCAAAACTTTCGGGAGTGGAATAAAAATTTATGGTTTAATTTGAGTGAGTGTCTCACGATTCGTTTTTCTTCATATACATAGTGAATTTATTCTGTTTCTTATTGATAAGATTATGTTTTTGAGATGTAAAATTAAATTAAACAAATAATAATTAGTTTAATTATATTTGACATTACCTATCAATTTACGAGTAAAGGAGAAGAAACTTATAATTATTTAAAAAAAAAAAAAAAAGATAAAATGAGAATGTGGAATGTTTAGGCAACAAGCAAAGTATTTAGAATAATTACTACAATAGAATTTAATCCACGGTAGAAGAGAGGCAATATTAGGAATTTTATTTTTTTGACTTAAATTGGAATACTATTTATTAATTATAAATTTAGAGTAATCCAACGAACTTGAAGATATAGTTAAAAGTAGTTCGTTAACAATTAGTAACACACATATGGGCAATAATAATTATAGCAGATACTTTTAAACTTTTATTATATCGTTAATTTATGTATTCAAAGATGATATGTGTCAAATTTAGTATCAACCATTTAAAGAATTTGAGTTCAATATGACCTAGAATTACATTATACGATATGTATAAATTATATATCTCCATAAAAGGGTATAAAAGTATAGGCATGAGATTGAAATTTTAATATTTTTGGTCTTGATTTTAGCAAACATATGTGATATTTTGCTAAAAACAAACGAGGTTTAGTGAAATGCCAAATTAATACTCTTGGTTTCATTTATTATAAATTATCACATTTAAAGTAATATTGTTTCTTTTATTTTTAACAGTTGAAGGCAAAAATGGTCATTTTAGTCTTTTTCTCTCTTCTCTTCCCATTTCTCCCAACTTTTCATTATAGTGTGGCTCACGTTAGCACGCTAATGTGCGCCAATGCTCCTTTTTGGTTGAAATTGGCCTCACGTTAGCATCACCCAAGCCATCATGTTTTGGCTTTTTTCGGCCAATACCGAACTCTAGAATAACTTCTGAGACCACCGTTGGATTCCCCATGACCTCATCTACAAAACTCATACCCCCAATTGCCGTCATCATTCACTTTTCTAGCTACTCCCACACTTGCCCGCTTGCAATTTTGGGTATCTTCTCGGTCGTTTTCTGTTTGATTGGAGAGCAAACGACGTGATCGGACTACACGAACAAACTCTCCTTCTGTTGTAGTTTGCGTGGGTATTTTATTTTTGTCATTGTTGACTTCTTGTTCGTTGAAAATCGAAGCCCAAAGTAGTGCCTGCCACAAAGGCCAAAGTCATGAAGTTTTTTGTAGTTTGTTTGGATTAAAAGAAAATTCAAAGGGTTGGGCGTGTTTGGATTGAAGAGGATGCTTAGTGGATTTTCCTAGAATTTTATTAATTTGGCTAGGTGGTGGCAATGGCAGTAGTGGTTAGGTGGTGACGATAGTGGCAGTGGCTCGGTGGTTGGAGATGGGGATGATGTGAAGGTTGAAGAAGAGAGTGTTTTTGAAAAAAAAATTTAAGTAAGATGATTATTTTTCTAATTCTACTAATTTTAAGGTAAAAAGGTAATTTATTAATTTATTTGTCAATGACAGTTTGATAATATCACCTTTTATATTTTTGTTAGAACCTAATAATAACTAACAATATTCAATTAAGGGTGGGAATCTAGAATAAAGAAACCATGGGTATCAACTTACCATTTCGTTACACCTTGGGAGGGATTATGTCGTTTACTCTTTTGCTAAAGATATTGGAGAATTTAAAAGATGTGTATGGTGGAAAAAATTGACGCATGATAGTTTTGAAATTAAATGTCATATACTTATTAATTAAAATACTTTTTTAAAATTTTCAACGAGGTATAAATAAAAAGTGGCTTAATTAGGATATAAAATACAAGTGACATTTGTCCTATTTCCAATAATACAAAAGGTAAATTGGGCTCATGATTGGAATTTGGATTGGCTTTGAAAACTAGTGGGCTTTCTGGTCCATTCACATGCCATTTTATATATAAAGTGGTGAAAATATGATATCAGTCAAATAAGGATGAAGTTGTTGGCATAATTGAAAGGGATATTTTAATTGATGTGGGGGAAGGAACATTAGGTTTAGGTATTCTTTACTTCTCCACTTCATAATTAACTATAACACATTGCATTTTTTAGTTGTACTCCATCCTATAATTACTAATGAGATGCATTACGGCTGTAAATTGATTGGTTGATTATACGAAATTAAGTCTTAATTTGGCTTCTCTCACGTTCTTGACTGTTTCAGCTTGTTGCTATCAAATTAGTTGCATATTTTCCTGGTAGAATCAATTTGGTGACTGATAGATAGACTTTCATTAAATAAAATCAACTAAGTTTGTTATATATAATACAAGATTGTCAATACCTTATTGTAGACACATGGTTCTACAGTAATCCTATATCAAATTTATTTGTTCATTAAATAATTTTTTAACATGATTCATGCCAATATATTTGCTTATTTAAGGATAATTAGCTATCAAATCTATCTTCATTGAATTAACATGTAATATAAAGTAATTTCTAGTAATATATATATATATATATATATATATTTATGATTGGGGGTGTCCGGGCCAACTTAGTGCACTTCAACTAATCTCCTAAGACTTTGGAAATACCGACTGGGTAAGAACTCTAGTGACTATTTCTATTAGCAATCGAGGAGGGACTCCAATTCAGAACTTCTTGAGTAATACATCCAAGAATCTCAATCTATCGAACCATTTGATCACCCAGAGATAGTTAATTTTCAGTAATTGCTAGTTTTAAATCTATTCACTTTTGAATTAACTTTTTTCCCTCTAAAATAATACATACAATGTTGATACTTAATAGGTACATGTATCCCATTTCACATGAATATTTTAAAATAGTTTGATAACGTTATTAAATCAAATAAGATTTATAATATCATACCAACCAAGATAATTGACCATAGCTACCAATAAATACAAATATTAAAATAAATGGGATGAATAGAGAAGTCAAATGAATGGGTGCAATATAGTCAGAAAACTCCCGACACAAAGTGGCGCCACGCCTAGTTGAAATAATGTAATAAAAATAGTGACATTTTCTGTAGCTGATAACTTTCCCGGGAAAATTAAATTAATCCCCAAGAAAAAGACACTCTCCTTATTCTTGAATTCAAAGGAAGTGGGGTTGATGATAATTGATGATTGAGATATATGGAACACCTGTACGTGTCATCATTTTCTGTCTCTTTCTTGCTTTCAATTTCAGGCATTGCATTCAATTGGATGAACCCGTAACTCCCCTTCACACTTGTCAATAACCAAATCGATATCTCCTTTGAAAAATTAGATTTATGAGATGAGAAATATCAGAGTGTTTTTGTTTTCATTTCAAAGTTGATTAGACACCTCTCTTTCTTTATTAGTTTTGCATGTGATGAGATTGAGATAAGCCCCTGTTTTTTTCTTTTGCTTCTCTTTATGTCTACATGCTTAACTAACTAATATTAATTTTCTAATTATATTGTTAAACACCATTATCATTATCCACTTCCAAATAGTTGAGTGATCAACTATGACTCTTGAATGTATTACTTAAAAAGTCTTCAGTTTGATTCACTTTAGTTGTTAATAAAGGTGACCAGTAGAGACTTACCCAATTGTTATCTTTTAAAACTCGAAAAATTAATTGAGATGCACAAAAATTGACCAGAGCAAGTTAACCCCAAAAAAAAAAAAAAAATCCCTAAAAAATATTGAAAACCCTCTTACATAATTATGAAAAATTGTATAATAGATGTTTTTTAATACTTTCTAACAAAGTGGATGAAGAGTTAATAAATAAACCCTTTGCTAATAATGGGTTGAAAAGTTTCTAAATAAAAAGTTAAGTTTATATATTGAGACTTATCTAACAACCACTGGATGACATGATGGTAAAAGTACAAAATAGGATCTACCATGGTCTCACTTAATAGGACTAACCACTGAGCTCTTATCCAATCAGTACAAAATCTCGAACGATTAGTTGAGGTACACACAAAATGGTTAGACATAACGTCATAAATAAATATATGAAGCCACTTTGCAAGACTTATATAGTGAGATAATCCCATTCAAATATTGTAAGTGTTGTATTAAGGGAAAATAATTGTTGGGAAATGTAGGCAATAATCATGGACAATACATCCCTTATAAGCATCAATAACTCCCAGAAGATATGGATGGATCAAAACTACATCACCTAATTGTACGATATAATATTTGATTATTTTGGATCTCAAACATGATTCAACATTTAAGGATGTATCAAATAGCAAACAGAATATACACCAAACTTTCGGCAACTAAGAAAAGGAGAAATGATTGATTCAGAAGACGATCTCTTAAAATTGAAACTATTATCTGGGTTTATACATTATTTATGGCTAAAGCTAAGCTGATGCAAATATATAAAAACTTTATAATAACATATTAAGATAAACTCATCTCCAACATAACCCATATCATAATTTAAAATCTAACTAATCATCTTAAACATACGTTACATTTTAATTTAACTTAATACAACAACATATTGATATACTCACATTCATATTCATCAATTTTGAGATACCTTACCCACCACCTTCCCTTCCGGGCCCCTCATTTCACCGCTAGCCGCCACCCCAACTCCTCCCTGGTACGTCGTAGGCGGCTGCACCACCATTCCTCCCGCTGCCGTGTAATATACTTGTCTCCCCACCCCACTATCATATGCCACCTGCGTGTATCCCGTATCCGTCACTGCCACCCCACCGCCACTGCCGCTGCCACCACTTGGCCGCACCATTCCCATCTGCGGCAGATTCGGCGGCGGCGCTTGTGTCTGCGGAGGTAAAACCATGTTGTAAACCGGCTGTTCCCGGTAAACATCATGAGCAGGTGGGCCCGGAGCCATTCTTTGCATGTTGGGATAGTAATGTTGACCGGGTTGACCCGGTACTTGTCGGATCATTTGTGGTGGTGGTTGTGGCTGTGGCTGTGATTGTGGTTGCGGTGCGTGATACACAGTAGTACCTTGAGGGATCATATAAACCGGCTGTTCCGGTTGCCCGTGTGTGCTGGTTACAGTGGCCGGGTAACTCGGACCGGGGACTTGAAACGCCGCCGTTTGCTGTACGGACAAAGGTACTGTCCCTTGCGGCGGCTGAGCTTTTTCAGGCATGGCGACGTAAATTCCGCCGGCTAAATTTTCTTCAGTCTTTCTCATGAACATAGCTTCTTGAACTTGTTGCTCATGTTCTCTCATCTGCAACCTTTGAAGTTGTCTCTGTATTTCAACGGGATTCACTGCATGATCCGCATAAACGACCCGATCCGGTCCGATACCTCGATCATCCGGAACGTGATATTCCGGCGGCGGCGGAGGCGGAGGTGGCTGCACCGCTTCCGGAATTTTGTGCGGTGGAATTCCTTTCTCTAAACCAAACAAGAAATCAACATTATTAGCGATTTTCTTAGACTCACTCACATGACTCGGACCGGAATTCAAAGCCTCTACGAATCGGTCACGCTCCGACTTGGAACCATCGGATCCAAAACTGGAATTAGTAACCGCCGGGAACAAGAACAAGCGCATCCGAGCCGGCTTAGCCGAAGCTTTAAAAAGCCGCTCATACTCGTGCATCATGTGCTCGAGATCATCATCATTAGTAACCGAAATCAACGCGTCAAGATCTTCCCCGGGGAGCTGATACTTAAACGAGACGTCCGCTTCGCCACAGAGCGCGGAGAGCTTGTTAATCATGGAAGCGAATTTGATCGTACAATCAACGGCGAGAATCTTCGTCTCGCCGCCGATGTACGCGAGCTGATTATCGTGAGGACGAGGGTGGATCTTGCCGCCATAGCTACACATGAACTTGAATTTCATGTTCTGAGGGTTCTGATCCTCCCATGGCGCCGTGTTCTCGAAATCGATCTCGCGCGAACGAGGAGACGAGTTGCCGGAATCAGGATAAGAATTATAAGAAAAATTCTCCATATTTGTTTTTGTTTACAGAGAACTAAAGAGAAAACGATATCGTTTTGATGTTTGACACTCAATCCATGAGAGAAGGAAGGAGATGGTAGTAAATGGAGTTGGAGAAGAAGACTAGAGTGATGTTTTATCTTGGTAGAACGTATAGGGAGGGCAAAGGGAAGGATAGAGTGACGGGAGGGTGGATGGAAAATGGGACAGGTGGAGGAAGATGAAGAGGGGAGGATGGAAAAGAGGGTGATATAAATGGAAAGAGATGGGAATGGTGGGGGCCAATGAAGAGAATGGGATAAGAGAGTGATTATTATCAAGCTAACAGTATTATGTAGACTTTATAACACATGAAGTAGTAAGTGGAAGTGGAACATGTTATCAATAATATTCAACATGTAATAATTAAATAAAATATTTTATAATTTTTTTTTTCTTTTAAGAAATGCAGGGGAATTTTATAAATTAGAGAATGGTGACGTGTCCCGTCCCGCGTACAATTCGTGGGAAAATGCTGTAATTATATTATACCATTCCATTACCTTCCTCAAAAGACTTATTTTTTATTTCAATTCAACCTCATTATGTATTTTTTGAGAATCTCAGATTCATTACTACGTACAACTTACATTGAGTTTTCTTGTAATTAACCTCGGCTGAGCTGAGCATATCGTGGAATAATACGGCGGCGTTGTTTGACAAATATGTTGGGTTTTTTATTCCATGGATTGACACCCAGCTTTATGCTCTCTCACAATAATTTCAAGCATCGCCTTTATGTGTTCAAACTATGGTTGGTTGTGCCTACGAGATTCCTTCTATGGATAATTACATTGTCACCCCTGAAATTTTGGGTGACAATATCACCCAAATATTTGATGCACTTTAATCAATTAATGTTTGACAATGATTCCTTGATTGTTGATCGTTGATCATGGAAGGATGATGTTGGTCAAGGATTTTCATATTTTTGGCATTTTTTGAGTATCAAGAAGAATGTACAATTTTCTTGTCGGTGAACGTTATGGATTTACATAAACTATTTGAAGATAATCATTGATACGTCATTTTAACATCAATGATTTACACATATAAAGTGTTAAGCTGTTTTTAGAAATTATATATGATATAATTGATTCAAGAATTAATCAGTATAATCGAATACAAAGACTGAATAATAAATGAGAGAGATAATTTTTAAAGTGGTTTGGATGCTTAAAACGATTTCTACGTCCATTGAGTCTTTTATATATGAGAGTTTACAAAGAGGTTGCGTATAGTGAATAACAAGTAGAGATATAATAACTGAATATTCAGAGAGAATATCAAGTTAGTCTTTTTTTCGTAAGTTATCTTTGCTTTAAAAATAAAAATTACAATCAGAATCAGAATTCCAAAAATGAGAGGGGGAGTCCTCTATTTATAGTAATTGAATTTAAGGTAATAATTATAAATTTGCAAGTGGGTAAATGTCGTGCAAGTCCTTCCTTGCCTTCTATTGGCTGATAACTTATGAAATATCTTTAAATTATCTTGGGCTTGGACATGTGTGTGATCTTTAATCACTTATAGACAAAACCTGAATCTGTTAAGTTGATGACAATCGTATTTTTTCTGTCTTGGGGTCACGTGGTAGCTCCTGATCGGCGCAAAACCTTCTTGAACTTTGATTAGTGTTTACTGATGTAAGCTTACGTCAGCCTTGATTTTTTAGGTATAATAATAATGAACTCCTTATAACTGAAATTGATAAACGTTTTATTTCCCATATGATAGAAAGTGGCTATGGAATATGCAATTCTAGTTTCCTATTTCAAGTTTTAAGTTTCTTTAACATTTATCCTATTATTTGCAGGACTACATCCAAGCTCGGTTTCCTGAATGCATCATCTTGGGATATAAATCAAGTAACGAGAAAATAACCTTGCATTTGGTGAGATATTATCAATGTTTTAAAACATGGCCTGACCCGATCGGTTGAACCGGAACTTTCACCAAGCCGAGTTAGCAATTTTCCTATTCACCGAAAACCTCAGAAATTGAAATGGTGATCGACGAACAATTGAAGACTGGGATGTTGGGGCTTTTGAAGAGGAAGGGCCGTTAAGTGCAATGATGACGAAGATGATTTCCAGTTAGTAAATCAACCAAAAATCGAAAAAAACTCGTAGCGACAACAACCGACTTTTACTAGCGATTGGCGAAATGAACAGGAGTGAGATGAGATGAGTTTTGGTCAAAAGACTGAGGGGACTATTTTCGTAGTGATGAGGAGGGTTGTCGACGCCAACAGTGGTGAGATCTAATCAAAATCGAACCGATTTCGAACAGATATTAGATAGATTTTTTGGGGAATGACTCAAGGAAAATTGGGATTACGTTTTGTGTGTCGTTGCCACCAACTAGTCAACCACCGATTTGTATTCAGGATGTGTTTGTTAAATTTTAAACTAATTGAGACTTAACTGTTATTTTTAGGGATGTATTTGCTGAATTTTAAACTTTTGGCAGTGAGTCAAACCACTTAAACTGGTCAACCTGAGACCTCACAATTTTGCTGGGTTAGGTTATTAAAACACTGGATATTATTATAAATGATATGATCTATCTGCTTCACGTACTGAAACTTTTCAAATATAATGATCCAAGGATCATATTCATCAGAATTAAAACTTCAAATATAGTTGGTTTTATGTCTTCCAAATTCAAATTGCAACCAAGATCTTCATGCAAACATAAGTTTTTTAAAACAACATTACTGTATGTAGAGAAAAGAAGCCAGAGTTTCCAACAATGCGATTAGTATATTAAGAATACCCATTTCCTTCACTAGTGACTACTCTACTGAATTTGAACTGGTTTCTTCTTTCTCAAGCTTCTTATCCGCGACATCACTGGGAAGATCCAACCCAGAAGGAAACTTTCCTGGATAATTTACCGTTGAGGGGTCCGACCCAGTCATACTGGAGAAAAAAATTGAACTAATGAGAACCTGAACTCAACAAAACAAGATATTGTTTTAGCCGTAAAAACAATAATTGCACAAACCTTCTGTCAACGATGACCATGGAGCGAAGCTCACAATTAGCAAAACTGCAAGTGCATGTCAAAAATGTCATTTCATGCGCAAGAGTCTAAAACACAAACGTACATGACTGAAGAAAATAACAATTTTGTTGACATGCAAGATGCAACGAGATTACACATGCACGAATGAGGAACAGTATAGCTTACTGTTTGCATATTTCTGCCTTCACAGAAGGGTGACAGTCATTTCCAAATGCAGTTAATGTGTGAAACAAGAATCCACTATGGGTGACAATTGCTATCTCTTTCTCTTTACGTGTCCACAACCTGCAAAGCAGGGAGGAGAAAGATTAAGGCCTAGACGGATTCACATCAAATAAATCATCTCAATGCATGTAGTAACTTTTATATGAGAATAAACTATACAACTTATACCATATAATCAGCCACGAGATTGTAATTTTCCATACTTATTGGTAATAATCGTCACTTGACATGATTCCCAATTAACAAAATCATGCAGCTTCTAATAGAAAATTCAATGGTGAATGTACTGGATGATGAGATGTACATAAATGCAAACAAAGACTAAAACTAGTAGTTCAAAAGAGGAAGTGATCCATTAGAATGATCTTCTTGCTTTTGAAAAGTTGTAACTAACATTAGCAAAAAGAAGACAATGATAAAACTTAAGATGTCAAAAACAATAATAACATAGAAGGACCATCCCACTTTATCAATCACAATGTCTACAGCTATATATTTAACAAAAATCAACACATAAAATATTTGGGAATTATCCTGAAGGACCAAATTTCACACAAAAGGTTTTGATAAAGTTCACAGTTAACAGTCTCTGTAAGTTATATTTGTACATGAGGTTCTGAGCCAGAGCCCCATGCACCGGAGAACGGGGTATTACCAGTTCATGAATTTCAATCCCCTGGCAGCAACTTCTTCCTTTGTCTCTCTAACATTGGCCTTCCACCATACATCTTCATCACTTTCTATCTGAGCAGAAGAGTCAAAAGTTATCCAACAGAGTACCTGAGAAACCAACTAGATTTTTCTAGGTGTATCTTAGAATCTAAATACTTGCCAGGGAAAAATCAACGGCAGGAAAGAGGAACTGATAGTCACTGATGTTTCTCCTCTTATCACAAGGATGAACTCCCTGCAATAAGTAACAATAAGAAACAGTAAGTACAAATGCCAGTAGTAGTTGCCTCAGCCTCCAAATAGTTTTAGTTTGAAACTGCCAGATTTTAGATAAATACTGTTTTACTTTTAGTCAGAAGAAATATTCAAGTTGCTGAACATGTTATACGCACACTGTTCACACTATTATATCAGAATATTATTTGGCTAATTTTGCCCTTTTCTAGCAGTGGGTACCAGGTTTGAAAATGTAGATTACTAATAGACCCTACAACTTAAACTGTCAAAGTAAACCAAAGGGTTACGACTTATTAGGTTTTAATTCAATAGAAAAAGCTGAATTCTTTGTGTTTCCATGACGAAGACTTATGATTAAAAAAGGGTTTCAGCTTCAAGGTTGATTATGAGCCACATAGCACATTTTATCTAGTTGTTTTCTCCTGTTACTTATTCTTATTGCTTCCTACCTTTGTTCCTTCTTTTATTCTAATTCATATATTCTTTGTCATTGTTCTTGTTTTACAATTTCAATTAAATACTCAACAAATAATCTTTTACACCAAGATAAAACAACTTTCTGACAGCAATACAACCAAACACAAGGATTTCATAACATAGCAAAGCAACTGAGGAAAAAAAAAATTGCTAAATTGACACCACTAGCTCAGGAGCTGAAATACTCCAGCAAAAGTATGTGGATTGGATGGTTGGGAATTTCCTAATATGGCAAACAAATAGTGAAACTTCAAACAAAAGTAAACTGAGTTTCTACAATTGCAGAACAAAAAATAATTGGCACCAAGTTTCCCAGAATCAAACTACAAACTTGAAGCTAGATTAGCACCAGCATTTATGATATGCTTTAGCTTTCCTTGCACAAGGATAAATCTGAAATTAATTAGAATTTGGCAATTAAGGAATAGACAAACAAAGCCATGTAAAGCAGAGATCACATCACACCAATTTTCCACAAGCTAGAGTGGCAAGGAATCTTCTATCATTAACTTTTGGTAACAAGATGATTAAGGAAAAAAAAAAAAAAAAAGAAAAGAAAAAGGTTACATATTTTCATATTTATGTGTTTCTTCAACCAGAATACATTGTATTCTTCTTTCAATATCCAAAATCCACTGAACTTTCATGTGGATTCACAAGAGTTTTTAGCTGGAGACCATGGCCAAGTCTTACAACCTTGATACTCAAAAAACTCACAAGATACAATATTCAAAACAGGCAGTCCCAAACTTCTTGGTTAAAAGCAAGGGCTCAGGATTGACCACTCAACCAAGCACTCAGGTCACTGAACTAAATTGAATTTACCAGCCATTTTATACTTCGTGGTAAGAATTTGCATGTCCAGCCCTTGAAGGTATTGAAAAACACAATTTTTAAAGTCACAAGGACATAGCAAGCATATCATTAAATGTTCTCTTAATTGTTATTATTGCACTCATGCTTAGCCACTATGGCACATATATGATGCTGAATAGCTAAAACACAGGTTACAACATGGTATGATTCATTACATTTGCAATGAATCATCCTCTGGGAGACATGTACCAAAAAGCAAATCTCCAATATGTTTCTGAAAACCCCTGAACCTTTACATGAAATGACACTTTTGAGAAACAGTTAAAAGATTGCTGTAAGTTCACTTCTCTCTCACTAACAAAAAATTTTTAACAACCCAATTTAACAGACTTTCTGCAAAGATTTATCAGCCCAAACAAGCCTTTAGTGCATAATACATTGAAAAGATAGTTTTGTTCGTGTAGAAGGCCAGGATTTCTGCTGTCCTCCCAATGAGGTACGCTAAGTCCTTTCAGTAGAGGAAGAACTGGCTGTTAATCTTTCACTATATGGGGGAAAATTGGACATTACAATAGCTATTGACTATTTAAACATTCAAAGCAACTAATAAGATGAAAAAGGAATGAAGAGCTAAAATTAATTCTACATTTTGCTGACAAAAGAAATAACTATTTTCTTTACACACCTTAAAAGAACTAACTATCCAGCTCAACAACAATCTTTCTCAACAGGATGTTATCATTGCTTACAAGTTACAAGTAATTATGCACAATCTTGAGAAAGATAGTAGTGCAAGACATACCAAATGTTCTCGACAAAGTTCTACCGCAATGACTGGTGGGCAGTTTAGACTTGAAATTGCAGCACGGCCACTGTTTCCAGCATTTGCCACCATTAGTGGTACTACATCCATCCGATCCTCATAGCCCTCACCACCAAAAACTCCAACAGCTGTTTGCAGTGTCCTAAAAACATCACAGTATTTACAACTTAGTGTAGAGAAAATTTAAATGTTATAGCAAATGAACTAAACAAATTAAAAAGTGGAACAGATTAAAAGTAGCATCCAGAATAGTACATTCAACAAAATCTGTTTAGTGAAACAACCAAAACGAGAGCTGAAATCTAATTTGTGCAACTTGAAGGTTTAAATTCTACGTTTGGTGGAAAAATACTTGATAATCCTGAGCTGAAATCTTTTGGAGAAAACAAAACGATGAGTTCAAAGAACACAATCGTAGAAAATAACACCCCTGAACCCATAGTATTAAGTTATCAATTTCAAGTGTTAAATAGATGGGTGAAAATACGATTAAGAGTCACACATTATTCTTTGTCAAAAATAAAAAATAGTACAACAATAAAATGAACAACACTTTCCACTTTCAACCCTACAAGTCGACTTTGTCTTATTTAAGGTCCTATGCAAGCCAGTTAGAAACACTTTAATACTAAGTCAGAAAATAGATATCCACAAGAAAGTATGGCAGAAATACCTAAGCAAAGGAGAAACAATTACTAAATCAATCCGCTTTGAGAGCCCAGTTTCATGGACATGCTTACGCAGATTGTCAACCTGCATCAATTGCAAAAAAAATTCACAAAATGTAGCCAATGCTTTTCTTTCAACTACTCTACTTATGAAAATGGAAATGACCAGCAACCGACCTGCTGCCAGCCAAGTTGGGTTAGATGTGCATCAAAATATTCAGGAGACATATATGCTTTGAAGTTCTTATCTCCGTCAACATTGTGAATTCCTTGTGCATGCCTCACCTGGATGTATCGTTTCATAAGACCACAATGCCTTGGTTTGCGAGCAAAAGCCAAGAAAGAAGGCAATCTTGAACATCCTTCAAGCCAAATATGTAGCAGCTTCAAATCCACGATGGATATTGTATATCAATTGAAAAACAAGAGAGATACCAACCAGATAAAGAGTCTTGCAGCGATGCGACGGATACAAACTTATACCAGCACCACCATCCATATCTTCAACTAAAACGCATGAATATTAGCTGTCTATAGAAAGCATAAAATATATATATCTTTAACAGGTGAAGATTCTTCATTCTCTTATAATTATAACTCAGGAGTCATGACATATTAAAACGTTTAGTAATGCACTTCTAAACTATATCTTTTACGCATCACTATCAATTGCTAATGTGTTGTTTTGTTGCCAGGCAAATGACACTCATGAACATTGATTGGACCTACAGGCTACAACATCACTCTGTCAGCCACCAACCCAATTTCATGGCTTATTGAGGGAGGAGATGTCATATTGTTTCCAATTAGAACCTTAACAACATTATTAATATCCACTTCACATATCTTCAATACCCTTATAGCTAATCACTTTTCATCTCACATATACATCCGACATTAAGCACTTTCACAACTACTGATTCAGAAGAATAATTTAATCATATAACAATAAAACATAAAGCATCAGTAAAGGTGCTGAAAATTCTTGATGTCCCTTGTACCAATGAATTCTTGTTCTTAAAAACTTCCATTAAAAATCTTTTGGTTGTACTTTTATCTAACTTCCATTTGAGTAACCCTAAGTACATTACAGAGATTTTCATATCCAATTTATTGCTCGAAACCATGACTAAAGCAGAAAAACACAAATAACAAACAAGTATATCCGAATCCGAGACACCAGCACGACCAGCTACAGAACTACTCAAAAAGATTAACAAGCTTCAATATTCGAATAATCTCAAACTTCATCACACCCACATAATCAAACCACCATCTGACCTCCTCCCATAAATTTCGTTAATTAAAAAAAAAAAAAATTATATATATATGAAAAATGCTAAACACCCATACAAAGAGGGTTACAAATTGAGGCCAGCAAGAAGAAAAAAACACAGAAAAAACGGAAAAAGAGAGAGAAATCATCAAAATCAAGGGTAACCACCATCTGACCTCCTCCCATAGATTTCGGTAATAAAAAAAAAAAAAAAATTATATATGTATTTATGAAAAATGCTAAACACCCATACAAGAGTTACAAAGTGACGTCGGTAAGAAGAAAAAAAAACAAAGAAAAAACAGAAAAAGAGAGAAAAATCATCAAAATCAAGGGTGAGATTATCTTTGGATGCCCCTTTATATTTATCTTTGTAAAACTAGCATTGATATATATATATAAAACTCCACAACGAACCTCAATCAAAACCATCGTTCACCGAATCAAAAGAATCTAAGTCTTCAGAAAAACCCACATGGAAACAAACAAAATCATAGCCCGAAACAACTTATCCGACTCTAAATCAACGAAAGCACAGCAACCCAGATCAAATAACAACACAAAACATCAAAAAAAAAAAAAAAATTCAAGAAGAGAACATCAAACAGTAATATAAACATGGAGATTACGAGACAAAGGTAAAATGGAGTAAAACTGAGCAGAAAAAGGAGGTATGAGAAATGGGTAAAAGTACCAGGGTGAGGAGAGGAGAAGCAGCGAAGAGAGAGAAGGGATCGAGAAGTAAAAGCTGTTGACTTGAAGGACCTGTTTAAAATTACAGAAGAAGAAGAAGAAGAAGAAGAAGAGAATGTTAGAGTTATAAATTTATTTTCGTGATAATAACTGGTTGGACAATTTGCTAATGCTGTCATTGATGCTTTCTGTCTATTCATTTGGCGCTTAGACTCCAAGGATTTGTAAGGATATTTTAATGTGGCTGGAAGGGTATATCAGTCATTTGACAAAAGTAAAGTTATTTTAATTACTTAAGAAAACTTTAAAAGTCTGTAGTTTTAAACTACTGAAAATCTCTGGTATTTTTAAGTTTTAACATGGTTTTTTTATTAATTTTTTAAGAATAATACTACACATACATCATTTTTATACAATATTTTTTATACAATATTATGTGACAAAATATGATTGAGTGAAAGTTTAATTTTAACTTTAAATTAATCAATCATATCTTGCCACATAATATTGTATGGAAAATATTGTATGAAAATAATGTATGTGCAATATTATTCATTTTTTAAAGTTTTTTTTCTTATCATTAATAGATACAAAACATTGATTTTTTTAAGAGTTAAATCAATAACTTTTAAATTACTGGATTACTAATAAAACTAAAAAACCCTCTAATTCTCAATTAAACCTATTAAAAATAAAGAGGGTAAAAAACGCTTCCAACCCTCGCATCATATAAAGTTATAGATTACTTGTGTTTGATAAAGGGCTAAAATTCTATGAGAATAGTCTAGCAAAATCTAGCTGCCTCACACTAAAGAAGCTTTTAGATTTCTAGTTACAGAGAAGAATAATTGCAAACAAGCAACTAAATCAACATAGTCAGCAAAGGCCTGTGAATTAGCATAATCCATAATTGTTCTAACTCTAACAAAAATATTATCAGCCTGCAAAATCTAACAATTAACAAATGATGTGACCAGTCTCTAAACATAAGTAGTCAATTAGATTGAACGTAAATACATTATAGGTGCCAGTTCCCCAAATTAGCTCAAAATCTGGAGGGGTTTGGCACGGGCAAAAGGTATAGTTTCTCCTATGTGTCAATGCATGAACTTACAAATATAAAATAATACCACATACTGAAAATAAGAAGTTAATGCAAGAAATTTAGCCTAATCATCTACCCAAGACCAAAGCATGGAGGCAAAGCCTCTCTATTTCAGAGACCAGCTTCAACATTTTTCCATGACAGAAAGGTGAAGTTCTGGCCTGAAGCAGAGACATATCTGCATGGATCTATGACAGAAATTTCAAACCAGATACTAAAAGTACAAACAATACAAGAGTTGAAACTTTTATAATGGAATAACAGCAGTATGATTTAAAAGACTGTAACAATTATAACAGAGGGAACCAAGTTCATGGCACCATTTGTCTAGCAAGTTCAACTCAGCTCGAACTGCGGAACTGCACAAAAGAATTTCTAAATAGACTACAAAGAAAACTAAAGTGTCCTACAGGAATCTCTTTTTCTTTTTGTCCTGTATTTTTAAGTATCAAACATACTTGTCTACTCTACCTAAAGCCTTGAAGATTATAGTGTTTATACTATTGTAGTATAATTTTGGAAGAGCCAAGCCCTCCTCATAAGGCAGAACATTTTTTGTTTAATTAAAAAGCTTCATTGTTATCTTTTTTAAAGGAAAAGAAAAAAAAAAAAAAAAAAAATCTATGCTAGGCAAAGTATTGGCTGATGAACAAAGTGATACAGTAACATAAATTCCATGTAACTGATACTACTCGTCATAATTGGGAAAACAGGCTAATTAATTTATATACTATACAGTACCAATGACTGCGTCCAGTTTCTGTTCTCCACTCCACCAATACAGAAGCACCCCAAGCAAAGAAATTTAGTTCCACAAATTCACTTCCTCTTTTTCAAGAGTGAATGAGTGATGCTAAATTTCTGAGTCAGCCATAACATTTTTCCATCAATAATCCCCACAAGAACAAACTCCCTCTTTAAAATGATGGAACCTATTAGTGTCTCTGACAAATATATCTCTCCTTTCAAAACTGGATATAAATTTTATAACAGCATGACAATCAAAGCAATTCTTGGGTTCTTAATCACTTGAAGAGGAGCTCCTGGTGGAGTATTAAGGAGTCCAAGCACTACAGCCAACTTCTCACAGTGCCCACACAAGATCTGCTCCTTATCCTGCTCCTCCACATCTTGCAGCACAAAGTCAGTATGTGGAAAGTAACCTGACTTCTTCATCTCCATGTTTAATTTATTTAACTTCTCCATGATTTGGGCCATTTGAGGATGTGATTCATCTCCGGTAAGAAGCAAGTGCACTTTATTTTTGACCTCAATCCAACTACAGCAAGGGCTCTTCCTCAAACCCATAGCTTTCATCATATCTCTCACTGCATCAACCTCAGTCCACATGCCTTCAGAAGCATATATATAGGACAGAAGCATGTAGTTCCCAGAATTTGTAGGTTCCACCTCAAAGAGGTTTAGCAGCAGCCTCACCTACACTCACATTACTGTGAACTCTACAAGAACCAAGCAAAGCTCCCCAAACACAAGTGTCTGGCTCGAAAGGCATTCGCTCAATCATATTATATGCCTCTTCTAGCCTCCCAACACGACCTAGAAGGGTTACCATGCAAGCATAATGCTCCAACCTTGCTTCAATACCATTCTCTTTACACATGCTATCAAAAAATTTGCAGCCTTCATCAGCTACGCCAGCCTGGCTGCAGGCAGATAATACACAAATGAAGCTAATAAAACAAGGCTTTTGTCCACTCCTTTGCATCAAATGAAAAATCTCTATAGCTTCTTTAGCCTTTCCATGCATAGCATATCTACCCATTATAGCGTTCCAACAACCCAAGTTTTTGGATGACATCATATCAAAACAAAGTCGTGACATTTGAATCCTTCCACACTTTGCATACATATCAATTAGTGCCCCAGACACGTAAATACCATCATTTATTCCTCTTCTGATAGAAAAGCAATGGGCCGCCATCCCGTGCATCAATGCTGCAATACTTCCACAGGCTGATAGCAAGCAAGGTATTGTAACATGATCTGGCTTGAACCCTGCTGTCTGCATCTCTCTAAAAAGTTCCAATGCTTCAATACCTTTCCCATTTTGTGAGCAACCAGCAATCATTGACGTCCAAGACACAACATTTTGTTCCACTCCTTGGCTCTGCAATTGCCTAAAGACCTCCAATGCATTGTCAACAAGACCATTCCTACAGAGACCCGTTACAAAAGCACTGCAAGCACCGACATCCAAATTTTCCATCTCATGAAACACTTTGGACATATTCCATGAACACGCACACTTTCCGTACATATCAATAAGTGAAGTACTGATGCAATTGTTCTCTAATAAACCCTCCTTAATCACAAAACCATGAATTTGAATCCCAAGTTTGGGATTCTCCAAGTCGCCTACAGTGGAAAGAACAGTAGAAACACTATGCTCCTCAGGCGTAAATCCTTCAAAAT